ACTCGTCTGGGTGCGCATTGGCCTATGTGGGGTTTAGGTGGTTTACTTATTGAGATTTATCTCATCCCCCGTTGTTAAACATTTTCAAGTTTGGAGTGACGGATAGTCGTCACGTGCGATTCAGAGACCGGAAGTGACCTTGGGCATATGATGCTTCGTTTCATCTTTGGATGCCCCTCTTTTGTATAATGAAGTAGGCTACCCAACCACTGTTCCCTTTTGATGTTGTGTAATTGTGAATGTTGTAGTGCTATCCCTTGTCATTAACTATCGTCAGGGTTGCTTAAATTTCGCTTATGCTTGCGTACGTCCTTGCATGTTTCATATGGATCGGAGATGCGTCCTGGGACGTCGCGTTCAATATGGCCATCGAAGGGGTGTCGCGAGCCCGTTGGGGTTCGGGGCGTGACAAATAATGGCACAAGTGGTCTCTAAACTTAAGCCCAACATGTAGTATGGTCCATGAACTTTAGCCCAATGTGCAATGCCGTCCCTGAACTTTTAATTTGTTCAATGTTATCCCTAAACTCTTGATATATGTTCGATTAGTCCCTAAATCGTATAAAAATGTTCAATGTAGTCATTCTATTAATTTAAGTTCATGGACAACATTAAACATTTTCATACAGTTCATGGGCGTCCATGAACTAAATTGAACATGTGCCCAAGTTTAGGGACCATATTGAACAAATTAAAGGTTCAGGGATGACATTGCACATTGAGCTTAAATCCAGGGATCGCATTGAACAAATTTAAAGTTCAAGGACTACATTATATATTTGGTCAAAATTTAAGGATCATTTGTGTTATTTATCCTTAAATAAACTAATACAGAAGCATACCTTACATGTGATCCCATCATGAGAAACAAAGAAGAATATCTACAATTTACGCACTTAAGAAATAATTTTCGAAAAACACTAATAAAAATATATAATGCACTAATCGGATTAATATTTGCATTTTATTTGCAAGTTTCAAATAAGCATTGCTAGTAAGACTTCGACCAACTCTGCTCACGGTGTTAAAGAAATTACACTTCACTGTTGGAAGAGTAACACGTGTACTTAAAGTAGAGAATTACAAAGTAATAACAATTGTGATCTTTCTTTTCAAAAGAAAACTGTAGCAACAAATAGATAGCATATACACTTCCAATTGCAAAGTAAATTGATGTTATTAATATTTAAACTCTCCATGAACATAATTAGGGAAAATTTAAAAACTCACCTAAGTACTGTTTACCCAAATTAATTTTTGGTCCATGTACTACCTTTCATGCATATTTAGGATGCGCATGACAATTATTCTGTGCCCGGGAACTATTTCTACTCAGAAATGATTCTTTTTTATTCTGTGCCCGGAAACAATTTCTGAGCATTTGAAGGCGTTTGGTAACTGTCCAAAATTTCTATTCCTGGGATAGAAAAAAACAGAAATACGTTTGGTAACTACACAAAATTTCTTTTATTAATAATATTTTAAATTATTTAATATTTTTTTTCTTTTTTTTTTCTTTCTACCCTTCCCTTCTTTGGACATGGGCGGTTGCTAGTGCCGGCGACCGGCCACAGGCTAGGGCGTCTCGGCCCTGGCCGCCTGCCTCATCGCCGACCTCGCCCGATCTGGACGAGGCCGACCTCACCCGATCTGGGCGAGGCCGACCTCACCCGATCTGGGCGAGGCCGACCTCATCGTGGGTCGCGACGGCGAGGCTCGGCCTCGCTGTCGCGACCCGCGGCGAAGCCGACCTCTCCGTTAGTCGTGACGGCAAGGCTCGGCTTCTCCCAATTTGGGCGAGGCCGACCTCACCGTGGGTCGCAACGGCGAGGTCGGCCTCGCCGTTGCAACCCACGGCGAAGCTGACCTCGCCGTCAGTCGCGACGGCGAGGCTTGGTCTCACCCGATCTGGGCGAGGCCGACCTCGCCATGATCGACGGCGAGCCGCCTCGCCCAGGCGGCGAGGGTCCAGCCCTCACCCTTGCCGGCGAGGAGAACCCTCGCCTCCGCCGGCGGCTGGCGAGGGCCGTGACGCCCTCGTCGGCCCTGGGCTATGGTCAGTCACCTTTGACCGGCCACAGCCCAGGGAAGAACAACACAAAGAAGAAAAGTAAAAAAAGAAAAAGAAGAAAAACAACTCATTCTCAAAATTGTGCCGAGAAACAAGAAGAAACTTTTTTTTACTTCTTGTTTCTCTTCCAAAACTGTTTCTGGGCACAAATTTTTGCAAAAATGTGCCCGGGAACAAAAAATTTACCAAACGCATTTCTGTTCCAAACTATTTTTGGGAACAAAAGAACAGAAATTTTCACTGTTTGGCACGTTACTAAACGGGCCCTTAGTCTCCCAACTTATCTCCGGTGACAATTTAAAGACAAAATTCAATTTTCCGTCCATTAGCTGACAAATTAACACGTGGCACCCACGTGATACAAGTTTCTTAAATATTTATACTTTTGGTCCTCGTACTTTTAGGAATGTTCAAATTCAGTTCTTGTATTTATTTGTTTTTGGAAGTGACAAAACAAGTCCTGACGTTATTTTTCAACGGACACTTCATTCCTTTCATGACATCTCCGTTTGAAATATTTTGAAAATGTCAAATTAAGACCAACTACTGATTGGTGATTGCTAGGATTATAAGTGTGCCCAATCCGATTGATAGTACCATTAAGATTGTCTCCGATATATGAAATAATGGCATCATCGTTTTCGGTATAGATCCATACAGAATTATCTAGGACTACTTCTAACAACATTAGATAGCTTTTACTTATTGAAACTATAGCTCTAACTCATAATTTCGTAGGCAAAATATTTTAGACAATTTGTATGAAACCTCTACATTATAGTAGTAACAACTAGTGCCCATGATGTTTATTGTAAAAGAATAAATGATACAAATGGTCCATGAACTTTGACCAAATGTCCAATGTGGTCCTTAACTTTAAATTTATTTAATGTGATATTTCAACTTTAGCCCAATGTACAATGTCGTTCCTCAACTTTTAATTTGTTCAATATGGTCGTTGGACTTTTGGTACAAATTTAGTTTAATCCCGGGACTATATTAATATATTTAGTGTTGTCCCCGAATTTTAATTAATGAACGGACAATATTGAATATTTTCATGCAGTCCAGGGAAATATGGTACAAATACAAAAAATGAATTCGAGTAATAATAATAGAATTATGAATTCTATAATTTCTCTAAAAATTTATCTTCTATAATATGATGAAGATTAATATGGGAATTACGCTCACGAGAAATTAGAAATACGACTCCATTCACTGTAATCAACATCCCCAACGGTGAGGTTTTACACATATCTTGATCTTTTACTGCGGTTCTATCTTGCTCACATCTTCCCCAAAATAAAAATCTCTGGATTAGGACTTACCTTAAACAAGATCGAAGGAGAGAGAAACCGAATCAGGAGCTTTTCCTTTTTCAAAATTGAGTGGGAAAATGCTTAAATAGATAATAGTGTGCAAACTTTAGGGACCAAATAGCAAAGAAGATTTAGGGGATTCATGCAAGAATTCTAGAAGGCTAGCAGCTATTTGGCAACTCAGAAGTGTAGCGAATGCTGGAATTCAATCTTAATGAGGTTTTGATTTTATATGCAAATTAATCATAGAGTTTTTCGGACGAAGCTCCTACGTGCAAGTGTCCGCCTAATCGTGTTTGTGCAAGGTGGAAGCTATGTCGTGGCGTGTCTGACCTCTTATGTGCATCGTTGACGGTCTTGGTCTTTGTTTAATCTTTTTGATTTCTTTTTTCTGCTTTATTTGTCTTTCTTGCCATCTCATTTTCATTCCCATATTGGATGTAGACTTAAACAAAAATTTAAAATCTGAGCGAGGATTGATGCGCACCTTTTTATTTTCCTTAGTAACCATGGCCCTACTACTGTGGATCCTTGCTGGTGGTTTACTCAGGTACCTCACCAGAACAGGGGTAGCCGAAGTCACCAACTAGAGCTTTCGTGACCTGCCTACCAGCTTGCTGACACAGGCTCCATAAATGCATTCTTTATTTCAACGTGCTGATGTCCTCATGTCCAGCCCCTCTCGTTGATGATATAGTTTTTTCTTCCCTCTCACTAGGGAATACCCTCGAAGTTTAATGCCCTAGAGTTCAGGCAAAGCCTTTTAAGGACATGCTTAGGTCCACTGACCTTTTATGTGCATCGTTGACAATCTTGGTCTTTGTTTAATCTTTTTGATTTCTTTTTCTTCTTTATTTGTCTTTCTTGCCATCTCATTTTCATTCCCATATTGGATGTAGACTTAAACAACAATTTAAAATCAAGCGAGGATTGATGTGCACCTTTTCATTTTCCTTAGTTTTTTGTTGTTTTTTTTTTCCTTTTAAGTGTTTCTTTTTTCTATTCTTAAACTTAAATTTGAAAAGATACACGAAAAGATCTAGACATAATTCTAATGGAAAAGTGCAATAGAGATTAATGAATGAAAAATCACAATATGATTAAACATGAAAAGAGTTGGACAAAAATTATAATATTGTTAATTCTAAGCAAGAGGACAACAATCGATAATCAATACTAATTGCCAAATAATATTTCATTCAAACAAAAAAAATTAGAACTCATGTAACGCGTGGAAATTCTACTGGTAATGAAAAAAAAAATTCATTTCCATAGGGATAGAAGAATAAAAATATGATATTCTGTAAAGTCACGGTCTTCTTGAATTTATGGTTAATTTAGATGAACAAATATATAATTGTGGAAACTCCAAATATCCAAGGATATTCTCTTAGTATTCCGAAACAAGCACTAATGGATAAAAAGCATTTTATTTTTATTTGTCTAATCTCTGATGCGCGTCCTTGAAAGTCCTGGTCTTTGATTAATCTTTGTGGTAGGTGAAGGTCTTGCTCTTCTTGGACTTTATAGTTTTCTCTCTCCATTAGCTCATTATCACTTTGCTTCACCATAACACTTAATTGTTCTTTGGAGGGACTGATTCACCCATGGCCACTGGAGAGACCATTGTAGGTTCCCTCTTTCAAGTACTGTTCGACAAGTTCATTTCTCTGGGATTGGACGTTCTGCAACGAAAAGGAATCAGCACCGCCCTACTCAATAAGTGGAAGAGGATGCTGGTCACACTCCATACAGTTCTGGATGATGCAAAGGACAAGGAATTAAGCGGCAACCGTCTAGTGAAGCTGTGGCTGGATGATGTTAGGGACTTGGCCTATGACTTGGAAGACTTGATCGATGAGTTTGCAACAGAAGCTGCTCAGGCCAAGTCGGAGGTCGAATCTAGCACAAGCAGAGGTTAGGTGAAAAGGAAGTTGTCTTTCTTTGGCCAAGATGAATCCTCTGGATCGAATCCGAACTCGTGCGCGCTCGTGTACGAAACCAAGGTACAGGAAATCAATGACAGGTTGGAAGAGATTGTCACCAGGGAGGCTTGTCTAAGCTTGAGAAAGAATGTTGTGGACAGATCCAACTACACCAACAAAAGGCTCCCCAGCACATCTTTGCCGGAGCCTCAGTTTTTCGGCAGGGAAAAGGAAGAAGCGGAGATACTGGAGCTATTGACCAGTGAAGCCGAAAATGATTCCATACTGAGCATAGTCCCCATAGTTGGGATGGGCGGTATTGGAAAGACAGCCTTGGCCCAACGACTTTTTGATAATGCCAAAGTGATTAGATGTTTCGAGAGTAGAGCATGGGTATGTGTTTCAGATGTTTTTGATGTTCTTGACATAACAAAGAATATTTTGCAGTCGATCACCGGGTTATCCTGCGAGGGCAAAGATCTTAACTGGGTTCAAGTTAAGTTGAAGGACAATCTATTTGGGAAGAAGTTTCTTTTGGTTTTAGGCGATGTGTGGAATGAAAAATATGGAGAATGGACTGCCCACTTGAAGCCATTTGAAGTGGGGGCTAAAGGAAGCAAGATCATTGTCACGACTCGCAACCTTTCTGTTGTTTCCATAACAGGAGCTTCGCCCTATCCTTTGGAGGTGCTGTCCCTTGATAATTGTTTAAGCTTATTAGCCTATCATGCTCTTGGAGCAACAAATTTTAAGAGTGACCCATATCTTGAAATAGTAGGCAAGAAAGTAGCTAAAAAATGTAAAGGTTTACCTTTGGTAGTGAAGATATTGGGTGGTCTCCTACGTAATAAATGGAATCCTGATGAATGGGAAGCTATCTTAAATAATAGGATGTGTGACCTTCTGACAGGAGAAAATGGTGGGGTTCTCCCAGTTTTGAAATTGAGTTATGTCCATCTTCCTTCTTATTTAAAGAGATGTTTTGCTTATTGTGCGGTATTTCCTAAGGATTATGAATTTGAGAGGGATGAGCTGGTACTCTTATGGATAGCGAAGGGCTTTCTAGATGGACGAAAAGCAAAGGAGAATATCTTGAGCTTACGACGGAATCACTTTGATGAGTTAGTTTCCTAATCCTTTCTTCAACAATCAAGTCTCGACGCATCTTGGTTTTCGATGCATGATCGTTTGAATGATCTAGCAAAGTCAGTTGCGGGTGGGACATGCTTTAGCTTAGGGGAGTCTCAGCTGGTAGGTAATGAAGATGATGCGTCTCTTGAGAAAACTCGTTATGCATCATTCGTCTCATCGTGGTGCATTACATCAAATTCCTTGAGAGCATATGATGAAATGAAGGTACTAAGAAGTTTAATCCTACTAAATGTTGAATATAGTAGGAATGACCAATTCCATATTTCCAACAAGATGCTACATGACTTGCTAACAAAATCGAACTACTTGAGGGTGTTCTCCTTATGTCATTGCGACATCATAGAGGTACCAAATTGTGTTGGTGATTTAAAACATCTTCGATATCCCAATTTCTCATACACTAATATTGAAAGGCTACCTGAATCAATTGGCGCCTTGTGCAAATTACAAGCTTTGATCTTAAGAGGTTGTCAAAAGCTTTCAATGTTGCCTTTAGGTATCGCAAAGTTGGACATCTTACAATTTCTTGACATTAGAGATACGTGGAGTCTAAAAGTGATGCCATTAAGTATCACTAATTTGAAAAATCTTACTATCTTGTCCAAGTTTGTGACGGAACCAGAGAAAGGCTTACGGTTAAAGGAGTTAAAGAAATTGCCACACCTTCAAGGAGAATTACTTATATCAGAATTGCAAAAGGTGGAAGAAGTTAGAGATGCCATTGATGCTAATTTGTTTGGAAAGCAGGGCCTTAGCAACTTATTCTTCAATTGGGTAGAAGACAATGGAAATCTCTGGAACAATGAGCGCGAAGCACCAGTGCTTCACTCTCTGTAAACTCACACTAATCTTGAAAATATCACTATCTTGTATTATAGTGGCGCAATGTTCCCTTCTTGGTTAAATGGTCCATCCTATTCTAAGATAGTGTCTTTGTGCTTGCTTGGCTGTCCTAATGTAAAATCGCTGCCATTCCTTGGACAACTACCTTCACTTAGGGAATTATCTCTTGAAGGTCTACATGCAGTAAGTATGATAGGCTCCGAATTTCACGGAACTAAACGATCTTTTCCATCATTGACAACTTTGAAGTTTGAACATATGTCGTCATGGAAAGATTGGTCTCGTTATGCCAGTGGCCAAGGAGGAGAAGTACCGTACTCTTGTCTTCAGCATCTTGTTGTTCGGGCCTATCCTGCGTTGATCGAGACATTGCCTTGTAAACTAGATAATCTCATGACGCTTGAAATTCGTTCGTGCCCACTTTTGAATATCTCCCCTTGTGACATTCAAAATTTCGACCCACTTGGTATTTATGAAATGCGTAATTTCAATAATGTACTTGTAGTAAATCTCGCCCAGATTTGATCACTCTTGGGATACTAACCAGTAGGGAAAGGCTAATTAGGGATCTAGATTTGCGCGACCATAGAACCTGACCATGGATTGACTTTCGACCATAAGGATTGTCGAGGTGATATTTTGGGCTAATATAGACCGATCTAAGGGTGGTCATGGATCGATTTGCGAATGTCGTATAATTGGATCGCGGGTGATTCCGTCTCGCCAGAGTACGAAATTTGCAAACGATCTCAAACCTATTACAAACGATCGCATTCTTTAGAACTAGTGATTGATCCTCGCAATTATATAACAATCGAGATTGCCATGGCTCAAGTGAACTTAAACGTGGCTCGATTTAGTATCAACCACGGGTCGAATATATGAATTTTCCCGAAAGCCGCCCGTTAGTTTGAGATAAGCTCAAGTCGCGTTTATTTGAGTTTGGCCATTAAATAGAGACTGAATTTGGGTGTTGAAAATTTTGAAAGTCATGACAAAGTAATTGGACGACGTTGTTATTAACGTGGTCAGCCTCGGATTTGTCCATATTCGTTAGAAAACTGAAATTTTGACAGGAAGTGGAAAATGATCGTTTTGCCCCTGGGATTTTGTGAACACCAAGTGTAAAATGAGAAGGACATTTTGGTCATTTCATACCAACTTTAGAGATAAAAATTTTTAGACGATTTTGCCCTACACTTTTTGTGAAATTCCAATTTTGCCCTTGGATATTTTTGGTGGGGATCGATCTGGGCTGTCGATTTTTGGATAAGATTGAATCATGGCCATCGGATAGAAAGTAGAGAGAGAAGGGAAAGATGGTAATTTCTCCGGGGTAGGCTTAGACTAGCCTTTTTTCTCTTCTTTTTATCTCTTTTCTCTCTCTCTCCCCTCATTTTCTCACGCCCAACTTCCCTTCCCCCCCTCCCCCCCCCCCCCCCCGCGGCCGAGTCCCCCTATCCCTCATGTGAAAGTGGCCAGCTGGCCATGCCTTTGGCCGCAGCCACACGTCCGTCCGTCCGTCGCCGTTCCGTGAAGCCGCCGTTCGCCCCTCCGCCTCGCCACACCACCGTCCCTCTCTCTCTCTTGTTTTTTCCCTTTGCCGAAACACCATCACCAGCCTTCATTTCTGTTCAGCCTAGCTGAGGAAGACCAGCAGCTCGTTGCCGTCCGCCGTCATCCGCCCATGGCCGCCGTGAGCTGCCGGTGGTTCTTGCCGCTCGCCGCCGTCTCTGCTGCTGTCCCTCCTCTGTTCAGACACCTTCGAGTGCTCGAGCTCACGTAGGACCTCGAGTAAGTGATATCCTAAATCTCGCCTAGGATAGCGGGTAATTTCAGGATAGTTCGGGTGCGTTTTAGTGAGTTTTAGGGGTTATTCGTAGAGAAATTGGTGGACTAAGTTGGCTGAGTTGCTTGGATGAATTTGTGGAAATTTTAGAGGTGGAATTGAGGTTAGAATTGACTAAGTTGGTGATTGGGATGATTACGGATTATTATCGGGAATTATTACATGAAAAACGGGCTTAAATGTGGCGTTTTAGTGATTTTTCTGTGGTGGCTAAGTTAATGTACACATCATGGCTAAATTGTGGCATGCCTATGTTTGAATTACTATATGTGGTGAATCGGGATTTGTGGCATAAGTGCGACGCCCTTGATTGGTGAAAATTGGCCTAGAATATGAAAATTGTGTTAAATTGAGCTTATGCAAGTGGAATTGATGAATTTGTGGGTTAATGTGGCTTGTTAGTGATTTGAATACTTTGGGTGTCATGTGCGGGTTGGTCATGTGAGGTTGATATGTGATGGGGTGATTGATGTGTTGCACGATCATTAAATATCCTAAGGCGTTTTTATGAGGGGTTCAGATAATAAATAGAAAATGTGTGCACGTGTGATAACATAATCCCTGATACGTTTTACGCGGGGAATTGAACCCGTCCCAAGGCGTGTTACGCGGGACGATGCCTGGTTATACCGGAAGACCGTCAACCTGATGCGTTTTACGCGGGTTGTGTCGTAAAAAGGAGATGGTGTTGCGCCTAAGGCATGTTACGCGGGCGAGAGACATTGAGCCCGAGGCGTTTTGATGGGGCTATAGAAGTGTTGTTCAACCTGATGCGTGTTACGCGGGTTGTGTTATAAAAAGGGAGATGGTGTTGCGCCTAAGGCATGTTCGTTTACGCGGGCTAGAGACACCGAGCCTGAGGCGTGTTCGTTCACGCGGGCTATAGAAGTGTTGTTAGACCTGAGGCGTGTTTACGCGGGTCAGAGATCGATTGCTAGTTTTTGGACCTGAGGCATGTTTACGCGGGTCAGAAATGAATTGGATGCGTATGCTCAAGTGAAATGGGAATCGTATGATGTTGTGTTTGTTATGCGAATGTGGGCATGAATATGGTTTGATTGGTATTATTGAGTGCGACATGGTGTCGATTTCTGACAATAATGTTTGAATTCGCATGTAAGTTTTCGTGCGTATCAAGGTGAGACATTTGTGCCTGCTATTGTTCTGGCTTGATAGTTGTGTGATTTGTGTGCTCGAACATGCCCAGAGATACGTGTTAGCCTAGGTGGGGTTTAGGGTTTCGCTTATTGAGAAGTGTCTCATGGTTGTTAAACCAAATCATTTCAAACCCCCGGCTGGTACGATGAATATCCCTCCTCCACAACATTTTGAGATCCCGATGCACACGGATCATACAGTTTTGGAGTATCTTATAGATGAGAACCATACATGGATTAAGCATACCGGTATAGTTTGGGTAGATGTGGGTGAACAATTGTGGCAACCCCATACCTATGTAGCATGGAGTTTCCGAGACGGGCTAGATGAGTTCGGGCCAGTGCGAGGTTTCGATGTCCCATTCGATGGAGTAGGTGATTGGGACCCATCGGCTATACCTCCCCCCAAGGGCGAGTTGACCAGTACAGTCACCGGTCTTGCGGAGTCTGGGCACCAATTTGCACCCTTGGAGTCAGATCAGATGGAGGTAGCCTTCGAACCGATACCCGAGGAGCCTCATCAAGAGGAAGCACCGATAGAGTCGGACCCGGAGGAAGATCCCGAAGAGATGGAGCCAGAAGAGGAGCCCGAGGAGTAACTCGAGATGGAGTTCGAAGAGGAACCCGAAGAAGAACCGGAGGAGGAGCCTGAAGAAGAGGAGATGATTGAGGTTCCATTAAAGTCGAGAGATGAAGATAACCCGATTAAGATCGATGCTGAGTCTGAGTCCTCGGAGTATCGGACTGACTCAGATGAGACTGACTTTGAGTGGACCCCCTCTAGGGTTAGGTAGAAGCTAGGCGTTGGACCCTTTTTGGTGTAAGTGATAGTCTACCCGAAGCCGCTAGTCCTTTTTGATATCGGCGGTTGTCAGTGCGGAGATTTGATGGTTGCGATGGTTTGTATTGAATATTGTGAATATTGTGGGTGTGATGAAGTGGTTGGTTGCTTGGTTCATTATCCCTCCATGTTACCCCTTTTCAAATTCTTGTCCGGGAGTTATTCTCGTTTCCGCCGTGTTCGAACTCTGATGTGTTGGTTTGGGTCAGCGATGTTCTTGGGACGTCGCACTTTTTCGACCGAGCTTGGGGCATCGCGCGCTCGTCGGGGTTCGGGGCGTGACACCCCTAAT